TGTCTAAATAATGCTTTAAAAATTACCAAAAACGAAGGACCATAAATTAAATTCGTTCATCCAAATTATTAGTGGTATATGCGATGTTATATCCCTATAAAAGATCTGAAATATGGAAGGCAGTACATATGCAAACAAATGATAACCCTTAATACTGGATACGGTTCATTTAAATTTGCGTAATTCATAAAAAAACCTTTATACAGGAAAGAGAAACACTACATTTTGTTATGATCATAATATGTGAATAACGCAAAAGCAACTATGAATAAATACGTAACAAATGCAAAATATGATTAAATACAAAATACGCAGTCATTTCTGACTTGTTATGGAAGTACAGATGACAAGTGAATAAGCTAAAATTTTCTTTTTTTAAATAAATCATTCTTTATTAAAATATGTCGCCGCCCAGACGGTATAGTGATTAGAAGAGCTTGCTGCGATATATAAGGCCCCAGTTTCGAATACCGAAGAAGGCATTTGGATGTAAAATTATCTGTCCATTCATAGGATGTAACGGTGGCTGCCTATTAGGTGCCTCCGCAATAAAATGTCCACCACTTCTGGCCTTAGTAGTGGCCAATGCCGTTACAGGCAAGTACCCGCCATTTTAAAAAAATACATCCATTTTGATTGGCACTGAAAATATAATACTACTAGATTACGTAATTACTGCAAAATATAAACGATTTTTATTTCATTCCACTCACATTTAACTTATTTAATAGTCCAGATGACAGTCCATTACTGGATATAGTTATTTTCACTTCTGAGCTTATAATTCAAAATGCTAAAAGTATAAAATTTATGTAAAGTTTAAGATACAATATTAAGCAATTTCCAAAGTATACAGTTGTATTATTTTTACGCTAATGGAACCAGAAACGGGATTTTGACCATTTGCATATCATAGGTATAATTCTGTGGAACTCTGTTAGTTGCAGACTGAGACATATAAATAAAGTACTATATATCCTGATTCCCAAGAATAAAAAAGTCACAAATAAACGAATGTTTTACAAGAAATACTTTAAACAACAAAACGGAACAACGGGGAAAACGCAACAGAAGAAATGGAAACCTTTCAGATATAATAATAAAATTGATATTCATGGGAAAAGTTTTGTATGTTAAAAAGATTAGAAAGTGTGCATAGAGATTTGTTTATATAAAAGTCGTGTATCCCTGTAGAATGTTCTGTAAGAACGAAAAAGAAATAAAAATTTGAATATATATAAAATATTATTGTCTACTACTGTAAGCAATTTTTCCTTTAAATCCAAAAATTTACATTTTTGTAATTTTCGCATTCGTAATTTAACGAGCTTAGTTTTAGGTAAATTTACAGTACCTTTAGAAGATTAAAAAAAAACTAAATGCATTTGTACATTTTTCCCTGAATTAAATAAAAACTACTAACGTCTGCAATGTTAGTTATAGTTAATATTGACTTAAAATTAACGACAGCAAGAACAACGCTTCTTCGTTCTAGAAATATGTAAATGAAAATCTTATAGCTTCTGAAAGCGATGTACCGAAGACTAAGAACTAAAGTTTCTGTGCTAATTCAATCAATTTAAAAAAATTTGTGAATATTTTTATAGTAACGTTTAGTTAATTTTTTATTAAATATTTTAATACATATTATTAAATATTTTTCTGTTGCAGTTTTAACTTATTAGTGCATCTTCTTGTGTTTTATTGCTGTCTGTTTATTTTCGTTATTGGCAAAATAAAAAAGTTTGGTGAAGTGTACGTTACATAACACTGCATTTATTATCCAAATGGTGGCGACTGCTCAGAACATAAACCTTTTAATCTTTTTTCGGCTTGGCAAATGGCCACTTTCCAATGACTTAGCATTCGACGGAGCGTAAGAGCTTTAATTTATTTTCGAAATTATTATTGCATTGCTTAATAACCTGAGCGATTTAAAAGCAATAAATGAAATCTTTGATGATTTTCCCATTTAATCTAATTTCTATAGTTTAAATTTAATAAATCCAAGCATATAAGAATTTTATTTTTATAAATATTACTCAGTTTTGTTACGTTAATATATGTGAATAAATATCTTCTTATATTTTTTTAATTTTATTTTACTTGGTTTAATAATGATTTTCTGTTATTTATGAAACTATTGGATTGGCAACAAAGTAATTTCAGTTTTCACAAATAGATAACGTTATGTTCGTTTTGTCATCCTTCTGTCAATCTTACAGTTCCTATTCTTTTGAGATTCGGAAGTTTTAGGTTGCGCAGACAAAAATGTCGTGCATTTTTGTTCACAACTGTTAGTTTACGGACAATTTTAACATGGGGCACAAAATAAGCATTTTCTACACATTTTACTTTTTTACTTTCATAATGGTAAGAAAGCCGTTGAGACTCACAAAGAGAAAAGTGAAGTTTCTGGTGTTGTTTGCTTAACACAACGTATGTGTTAGAACTGGTTTAAATAATCTGTTTCTAGAGATATGTCACTTGAAGATGACTAACGTTCTCGCCGACCTTCTGAAGTTGATGATGATAAAATTAAAGACGATTGAGTTCCATTATGACATGTTAAGTCATAATGGAACTCAATCGTCATGTAATCTATGACGGCATGTAACTACGCAAAAAGATTAAACGTATCACACGCAAAAAATAGTATACTTTCAAACGTAATGCAACCGACTCTTTTTTTAAACGAATTATCACTGGCAATGAAAAATATATCCTCTGCAAGAGCATAAATAGAAAAAGATCATGGTCCAAGCATGATGAATCAGCACAGATCATATCGAAACTTAAAAATTGCGTCAGGAAAAGATCATGCTGTCTGTTTGATGGGATTACAAAGGTGTTGCATATTTTGAGCTGCTTCCAAGCAAACAAATGATAAACTCAGATGTTTACTGCCAACAACTTATGAAATCAGAGAAAGCGATCAAAGAGAAAAGCCAAAATTGTCAAAGCGCAAATCTTATTCCACCATGACAATGCGAAAAACAGACAGATTTAGCAACACGTACGAAATTATTGGAACTTGGTCGGAAAGTGAGGTCGCATTCCCCATCTATACCCGACCTTGCGCCATTGGATTACCATTTATTTCGAAGTTTACAATATTTCGTAAATGGTAAATGACTTCAAATCGTCCTTGTTTGAATTTTTTACTAATCAAGGTCAGAAGTCCTATGAGCTCGGAAACATGAAGTTACCAGAATAATGGCAAACGATCACCAGACAGAATGGAAGGTATATTACTGATTGTAGTTTATATTTTGTACAGAAAAAATTAAATTTTGTTTCACACTAAAAAAACAAATTTACTTGCTTGCCAACCTGACATTATGTGATTTTTTAACCTATGTCAGCTTTATCCACATGTACTTTTCATAGAAGATATTCTTGTTCTTTTTATTCTAAAGACGTCCTCTTGGAGTTAATACCACGGATAATTATTATTGGAAGTGTCAAGGCTACAAGAATCAGTGTAATACTGGTTTTTAAGGACTAGTTTTGAAGGATTAAACATGGAACTATTTTCTTTGAGCTGCAAATAATGAAAGAGAAGCCTGCTCTCAGGCGACAACAACGAAAGGAAGAAAGTAAGCTCAGGCGATAACAATAAAATGTTTTCATTTTTGGTTAATAGATGGCGCTAGTAACGTGACTTTTTTCCTCTCATGCTATCGCCTATGTACAGACTTCTCTTTCGTCATTTTCACTTCTGCTGCTGAAGAGAAGGGTTCTCTGTTTAGACCATCGAAACTGATTCTGCAAATTTACGGATATTATGCTGATTCTTGTTGTTTTAATACCTCCAATAAACATCTTATTTAGTTTTAAATACTCGAAGCACTAACTTTATCTACTATTAGCATATTTCTTTTCTCCAAGAAGCACGTTTGCAATAAAAGTACTATATTCGATAAGTTTATTTTAAATAAACTCGTACACTATGCTGTTTCAGAAGAATTAATCTACTGTTTTTTTTTTTTTTTTTTTTTTTTTTTTTTTTTTTTTTTTTTAATATAAATAATATCTTTACATTATTATTTCTCCTGCTTATACAAATCTAAAATGATTCAAAATGCAAAAATGAAGTAATTTATCTCTATTATTTTGAAATATAACGGTATTGCTGCGTTATATGAGCTTAATTTATCTACGGTTCTTCGCACAACCATGTTGTGAATGTTCGATTTTTCTCCGTGTTTCCCTGATAAATACATTAAACACGTGTTTAAAAAAAGTATATCACATACGAATCTACAAAAGGATTTCAAATTTAAATCTTTCGAATTTATCTAAATGTCATTAAAGGCTTTAGCTGAAAGCACTGAAAGGCGTAGTTTTATTTATAGTCCAAAAACTGAGAGAAAGAGAGCAGGCAGATTTTTTTTCGGTGGGGGTGGAGCTTTAACGCACCTGAGTTTCCAGTATCAACTTTCGGAAATCCTGATGTCCATACTATTAATTCTCTACAAAAATTACACTTTCCGCCTTTTATTTGTACTCACGCTCGAAAAATCATCTCTATTAAGTACTCTAAGTAAAGTACTCTAGTAAGGTTCTCTCTCTAGGTTTGATTTCAAAAATATAAAAGTAAAATATAAAAGTTTGGGTGCTATTCAAACCTTTGTGTTAAACTACATTGAGAAAATGGCTTACGCAATAGTAGCTTGAAACATAAACTCTCATATACAATAATTATGAATAGAAATAAATTAATAGTAGGAAGCTAGGAATTGTACTCTAATTTTTGGAAAACAGTATCTAATCACAATTAAAAAAATCTGTTAATTTGTTTATGATTTTAGCCTCAGTTTTAATTCACACTTCATATAGTTTTGTTTCAAAAGAATTGTTTAAATTTACTTATACCTTTAATCACACAAAAGATACACTCTCAGAGAAAGTAACGTATTTATAGATATCGCCCCATTAGGAATTTCTGGAATGCTACAAATGCACCTTGTTTACAAGAATAACCCACCCGTCAATACCTGCTGGAATCACAAAGAAGAGGCAAGGGACTCTTTGAGATCCTACACTGTTGCGGCCCCAACACTGGAGAGTCCCAAAATCGCTTTCCGATCTCGGAATGTAGTTGACGAGACTTTTGGTTCCGGAAGTATACGTCGGTACTAGTTCCAAGTTCCCAGAGGAGCTGTTGAATTCCCAACGAAATGCTACGTCATCGGGATCGGCTTCTACTTCACATGGTATCTGGACGGGATAGTGTAGCATTGCTCCATAGGTTGTTTCTTGATTCTGCTTGCAGACAGGCGAATCTGCAAAACAAAATAAACAAAGATTCACATATTATGTTAATTTTTACTCTGCTCATTTAAAATTGAATATTGAATATTTAAAATTGGATAAGTCCCGTTTGAAGCAAAATGTATTATAAAATACAGTATAATAAGGTTAATACAAGTATTATGCATATATACGTGATAGTTTGGTGTAGGTGACTTGAACGAGGAGGGATTATTAAATAGCCGTTAACAATGAGTTGCTATCTGTAATCATTGGGAAAGCCTTTAACGCGTTGATTCACAAGATGATATAACGGAGACAGGTTTGACGAAAACAACACATTAATTTATTCGTGGACATTTTTAAAAAGCATAAACTTGTTCACAGATAATTTTGCGTGTTGATCGCACCCTCCAAACATTTACATAATGAGTTACAGTTTTAAAACAATGGACAAACCAGAGCGATGAGAACACACATGTTGCCAGCAGCGAGCGAAGCAGGGGAAAAATGGTGTACTAGTAGCCGAAGTATTTATATAGTAAGAAGTTTCTTTAATTGAATTGGACAAGACCGCCACTTTTCAGAAGTGATTACATACATGAACACATTAATTACGAAATGATGTACTTTAGATTCCAGGAAGGGTTCGTAGCCAAGTTTAAATCGTAAATTAAAAGAATAAGCTAAAGTTTGTAATTTTGAGCTTCATATTTTTTATCTTAGACACACTTGCTTCGGCAGTACATATACATATACTAAAATTGGAGCGATACAGAGAAGATTAGCATGGCTCCTACGCAAGAATGACACACACACATATAATATATATGTGTGCAAAATATAATATACATAAGACCAAAATTTTAATTATTTAGAGATATGCTAACAGTAAAGGTTTTTCAAAGCCCAGTTGGAATAAATATATTATTAACTCTATTTTACCTCATTTTATCTTCCCTTACAGAAGCGTTTTGTCTGTTTCGCTGTATCTTGTAGTGCACATCCTTTTTTCCCTCTATTCGTTTCGTTCTTTTTTAGAATATAGTATGAAACAGAGAAACATATACATCAGTCCTTGTATTCTGATATATAACAGGTTTATCAAGATTTAATTAAAGCATCTGTACAAGTACATTCCTCAGCAATTTTTGCAAGCCTTTTGTTACTTTAAAATATGGCGTGCGCATGGCAGTTGCCGTGATTCCTATATATTATAAAGGGTTTACACGTTATCGAAGGCTTCGGAATTCAGAGCTCCAGCCTGATACCATACTTATTCACATAAGAAAAGTTTTGAAGGCACTTGCTTCCTCCAGAAATCAAACGCATATTTTCATACAGATAATTAAAATCTCATTCTTTATTTTTAATGGCCATTTACTATCAACAAAATGCATGTGACTCGTGAAGAGCCAAAACGGTCAATACATAAGTAATCAGATATATTGTAAACACGTATGAATGCTTCTGCTAAGCGAATGCAAATTTAAACCCACACCAAGCAAAATTTGAAAAATGCTTCGAATATACATCTTCATGCAGCTAAAAAGAATATTTTATGTAAAAATAATTTTGAAGTTATTTAAAAAAGGGAATAAATCAGCATAAAGTTATGAAATGAAATGGATGAAACAATCAAATATTGCCGAGTTTTATGATGTTTAAAATGAACATTAAATTACATTAAAACTGACAAAGATAATTAATACATAGATGTAAACTACACACAAAGAAATGCTCATTGATCAATGAAATACATTGAAAACCAACTATTCTTGGTTTTTCATAGCTAATTCGACCAAAATCTCTTCCGAATCTGAAATTAAAAAAATATATTTTTCATTCATTAATTTTGCTAATTCATTTTGTTAATGAATTTCGATTTGTGATTGCTTATAGATAATGTTTAATGCTTCATTAATCTAAAATTGAAAACTTCTCCCTGCAGTTATAAGTTATTTTCACCTTTAGATTAATGTGGCATTTTATCTGTTTCCGTTACCGCAATACACAACATGTAATCGTTTATACAATGTGATGAATAATATTTTTCATTCGGCAAATTATTTTCTTCTGGTTTGCAATTCCTGAAATCCTCGTATTTATAATTTTCAACACAGATTTAACAAAATTAACCTGAAAAAATATGTAAGTATATATCTAAAAAGTTTTAGATTATAAAGATCATTCAAAAGTGTTTGTTCAGTTTGTTCACGCTCTCGCTGAGCTAGCAGACTACCAGTCTGCTCTTACACTCAATCCTGCTAACCCATTTGTCCTTCCTTTTACTTTCTTGTACGAAATGAAAAGGAAGTATTGTAATCGGGAAAATTTTTAACGAAAATATCTATTTTGACCGCTATCGAATGCAAATGTAACGATGTTTTTGCGTGACATCTGTACGTAAGGGCAGAATAAAAGACACTTTTCCTCCCCCCCCCGAAAAAAAATTATAAAACTACTTTAAAATGAATTCTGAAGGGAATGTTTCTTGGCGTCTGTACGTACGTACGTTACGTATGTACGTACTCGCATAACTCAAAAAACGAATAGCCTCAGAACGTTGAAACTTTTTATATAGAGAGGACTGTTTAACATATAGATGTGTACCTCGTATTTTGGTTGCAATCGGCCGCACGAAACTTATATAAATATATTTATATATGCATCCACTCTGTTACCTGGCACAGTGATGTCAGTTTCTTTACTCTTATATGTTTGTAAATTGTGCATTTTTTGCTTTAAAAATGATTGAATTATGTTGTTCTTATCTTCCGGTTAAAGTTTTTATGCCTTTAGTAAATCTGCAAGCAATATTTGTACAATTATCAACAATTTAAAAGCTGTTTAAGTGCAGCTAAGCCTAATTTTTAAATAACATAGCGGACATATTTGTTTATATTTGAAACAGCAGAATAATAAATTTGTTGCCAATCTAGAGAGACTAAGCTTTGCAAAAACAAAGATAAAGCATTCATTTATTATTGAGAATTAAATCTTGCTTAATCCTTTCTGGAATTTTTTCGTGGAAATAAGTGTATAAGATTTACTTCGTAATTTTTAACATAGATATTTTGAGTTTTTATGTACTTTTGCCTTGTCGCGAAGTGAGAACTGAATTAATTGAATGAGAAATACTAAATCGTCTGTGAAAATCTGTTTGTTTTTTGTTTTGTTTGCTTAATTTCTTTTATAAATCTTTCTAGATTTATTATAGTATTTGAATAGAACATGTGACAACGATTAGTTCTTTAAATGATATAAATTTTGTGCATTCTGAGTTATAATATGAACGAAATATAGCGCTGTTAAGTGAACCTAGCGCCAGAGTGTCTGTATGGTAAACAAATATATCGAATTTTAAAGAGTGCATTTATTCTAGTGTGGTTTATTCGCTATAGACGAAATAGAACGTGTACTGATATCTAGGAGCTTCAACTTTATCAAAGTTTTGCACAACAAATGATTATTTTTGCACACAGTTAACGCACATCAAAATTAACCTCGAGTTGGTTCTTTATTTGATGCAAACTGAATCATGATGTGCATTTTTTTTCTTTATTTTAAGTTTACGCATATTCGAAATACTCTTCAAGTAAAATCTGGCGCATTTCATTAGTGCCATCATATGGAAAGGAAAACATGAACGGAAATTTTGGAGAGATTAAAAGTCATACCTTAGAATTAATACACCCATACCCGTGTTAAAGTACGTTGTTAAGGCTAAGTGCATATTATTTAAGGTGTGGTAAATAAAAACCTTTCCAGAAATGTAAATTTGTTACATAATATAAAGCACAACCTTAGAATTAATACACCCATACTCGTGTTAAAGTAGGTAGTTAAGGCTAAGTGCATATTATTTAAGGTGTGGTAAATAAAAACCTTTCCAGAAATGTAAATTTGTTACATAATATAAAGCACAACTTTAGAATTAATACACCCATATTCGTGTTAAATTAGGTAGTTAAGGCTAAGTGCATATTATTTAAGGTGTGGTAAATAAAAACCTTTCCAGAAGTGTAAATTTGTTACATAATATAAAGCACATAGATTGCAAGTGAAAGCGATTACAAGTTTGGAATTGAAATTAAATTAAAATGCAACCTGAAACCATTATTTGTTTTAAATCAAATTCTAGACATTTCACGAAAAAGAGACACAAGTCCTTCTTAAGAAAGAAAATTTCTTGGGAATCTTTAACTAGAGAGTGCTTTGTTCATTTAAAATGCATTGCTGTTAATACTGTCTCTTAGACATTAAAACTTAAAACTATATCATGTTTGTTATCAGGAGCGAATTGCGATTCCTGTTCAGTCTTTTATGCATTTCGCCATGACTGGATAAGCTGTGAATACTTTCTTGGCCGACAATCTCGCTCAAAGTATTAATATCCGAAATTCTTTATTTTCTGAACAAATGAAACGCTAGGAAGACTATACACTCTATTATTCGCGATAATGGAACGTGACCGCAAAGTTCGTTTGCGACAGGGTGGAACGCTTCCGGTAATTTCCGGGAATCTAGAGACAAACCCTATGCCATGAAAGCCGTCCTTTCGCACACATCACTAAAGACAATAATTAAAACTTTTAAAACCGTAATCTTTCAGTGTCTTTGTTTCGGGAACAACAGCCGTCTTTTCGACAACAGAAAGCACTCGAACTTCGAAAATTGAAATGCATTGTTCCCTTTCTGGAAAACGCAAACCTAGACAAAAGTAAATTTTAGCTTTGATTTGAAGAAGAACACGCTCTGCGTTTAAAGAAATTGTTCCATTTGTGTGATAAAAGGTATAACGAATTTTGCTTGCCAGGGAGCTTGAGAGAAAAGGAACAGTTACGGCGTGATGTACAAATACTTAATAAGCCCTCTACATATAATAAAAATGCAGATCCAATGTATGCGGAAATAAAAGAATCAGCATATGATATATTTGGACTGCAACAGCATATTTCGATGTGTTTCCTTTATTTGTTGTTCTATTTAGATTTTATGCTGACAAATTCTGCTTTTAAACTATGCTATT